CTGCTCTGGTTTTTGTGATAACATTCACTAACCAGTAGAAGTGGAGTGCTGCAATGGTGAGAATGAGTAAACAGATTGGAGGGTATGTATTGTCTCTTCACAGGGATTAATTACCATACAGATCACTTCTGATATTTCCATAGGTTCCCATACTAACTTTCTTGCCCATGCAGAGCTCGTTCAATTTCTCCTGTTCCTCCTGGTTCACCCCAAGCTTTCCAGTACCTCATCTGGCCACCTATCTTTAGCATGTGGCTCTGTGTTTGTTTCCATATTTTCACTCTGGTAAAGAACGTACATTTGGCCCACCAAGGGTCATCATTGACTAATACACCAGGACGTATAAAAATTAACATTTCAAATAATTACCTCGAACTACGTTATAGTAAAATAAAACACTTGCAGTAAGTCATTATTGTAAACACTAATTAGATGTTAAAGATTTTCCAATATAATGCTTACAAATTTAGAAGTCTTCTAATAAGCATTATACAACCTAACATCTCTCTCCAAATATTAAAAAGGGGGGATTAGATATTTTTATCACTCAGAACTATAATTAGAGCCTCCCCAGAAATGTTAAATAGATGCTATTTCCAGAGGACTACTCTCCTGAACTTGGCTTTGGAGGAAGTCTGTGGTTTCTTTCTATAAGCCGGTATCAACTAGGAAGTAACTGTCTTCCTATAATGTAATTTGGCATTTCATTATTTGAAAATGAGTATGGTTCAAAAATCTATAAAGCATCTTTTCCTTACTAAAAGTTAAAGAGCGGTTTTGTCTGGATATAAGGAATTAGCGCTAATAGAAAACATTAAAATGTATTATCATTAGGACTGAATATAAATCTAGAAGAAAGTAGTAATTCCAAAAACTTTTAACATTTTATTTAAAAGACTGATGCTCATCTAGCTTGATTTGTAAGTATAAAATTAAAATGAACAGGAGAAAACAGGTGCATACTAATACTAGTTCAAAAACTATTTCTATATTGCTAGTGCTCTTTTCAATAGCATTAAAACAGTCTTTTAAAATATCTATGGAGTGCAAGGACCTCCATGCCGCAAAGGTAAATAGGGTAAAACTCTTATAAGACAGAAGAGGAGCCTTAGAATTTATATGAAGTTTTTCTGCAATAAGATATGGAATTTCAAAGAAGTGCTATTGTGTGTAGTATACATGGGCATATATTTACATAAGCAAATTATCCATATCTTGAATGTCACATAAATGTGTATATTACTAGTTACCTTTCCTCATATTTAAAACTCCACCCTTAAGCTTGAGTCAGAAAATTAAAGACTAAACACACATTAACCCTGTGAAAATTCAGCCAGAAAAACCTCAGTGTAAGAGATATTTTAATCAATAAATATTTCAAATTGAGTGACCCCCCAAATCTAACAAGATTGTTCAAAACAAAGAAAGCCCCTATATAATTTAACTCACTTTGAGTTTCATGGTGTGAAAGCCACACACTAATAGCATCTTCGTGTTGCAAATCCTGTCTTTTTACCTTTTAAATAGTTATGGTCTCATTCCAACACTAATGTGCTAAATAGGGACTGCATGCAAATCTTCACTTATTTTTAGATAATATATGTAACATTGCTGCTAACTTTAAAGCCCAACAAGTACAATCTTCATAACCTCTGCTGTGATACCAAGGATTCTTGAAATTCCTTATAAATGCATTAATCACCCCTGTAAAAGTCACTGCTTGCTTTTAACGGAGACAGTGTATCTTACTAGGATGATACCACGGCATGCAGAATCATTAAAAAAAGAGAGGCTAGAATTTATGGTTAAGCCTTTGGACAGCAGGGCACTATTTTACCCATAAAACTTACAATCTGCAGGGACAGTGGCCAAAGCAGAGGAACCATTAAAGACTTATAATTAGCATCAATCAAGGTGACACTGTTGTTGACATCTTTATTACTTCAAATACTCTAATCAAATACTTCTGCATTGAGATGGAAAGGTTGATAGGCAGCTAGACACAGAACCCACCCCTATGGAGAACAATTTAAAATTACCTGTTCATAAGGAAAGAAAAGAGTGTATTAATCAAGGGGGACCCGAACACATGGCTCTGAAATGAAATAACTCAAAATGGACCTGCGAGGCAGTCACACATTCATGTGGCTGCTTGCATCATGTACTCCTAAAACAACACACATCTCCATGGCCCTTCTGTGCAACCCAAGAAACTAGCTTAATTTGGATGAAAAAATAACTCAGAGAAATAAAAGCTTCAGGCTACTCTGTCCCATAACAAAACAGCCAAATACTCTTGCTTAGCATTTACTGATTTTCTAGATCCTTTCTTACCCATGCACATGTAAATGAAAAGTAAAGAGAAACCTGAACTAGGTGTCATATGCATAATTATAATAGGAGCTGTCAATATTATCTAATTGCATCAGGGTTCAGTTGCATACCACACAGACTCTGAAATATGCTGTTATTATTATTGCTCATATAAATATTTCAGTTTTAATGAACAAGAAGCCACTCAGGATCTTGGCTACCCCTTGAGCCCATATGGTGTTACACCTTAATGACTATAATTTTTAAAAAGAAACACTTCTCTGAGCAATTTTGAGATTTTCAATGTTTCCAAACTGAATTCTTGAGGTACAGGGCACAGACTGGAAAGAAAGGATGAGAAGTCATTTTCAGATAGCAAAATCTGTCTTGGACTCTATTCAGAATTATGGATAAAGATTGGCAAGGCATCTCACCAGGTACAACTTCATCTTTGCCAAATGAGATTATAAAGCAAAGACTTTCATTATGAAAAAGATGAGCCCTAACAATCATTTTGGCTCCAAAGTTCAACTTTATTTATAGTTTTCTTTTTGTTGTTGTTGTTGTTTGTTTGCTTTTTTGGTACGGGGGATCGAACTCAGGTCCTTGCGCTTTCGAGACAGGCAGCATAAACACTGAGCTAAATCCCCAGCCCTATTTATAGTTTTCTTAATTGGTGATCCCATGACCAAGTTTCAAAAATAGATCACATTTTCCCCCAATTAAATACTTGCCTCTTAAAAAAAAAAGTTTGTGTATGCCCGTCAAAAACTCAGCAGAAACAAAGGAAATTCCTCATTGCTTTTTCCAGTCAATGGGAAGAGGACTGTGGAAGAGGATAAATGACAGAGCAGAAGCTACCCACAGGAACAAATTGCTCAAAACACTGTGCCCACAATTCACTGAAGGAGAAGCAACTCACTCAAAGCCAGTTCAGTTTTTAAGTCCATGATCAGGGACAGACAATTTTCCAATACAGTGATGGCCTTAAAAAGGAAAAATAGTAAGAAAAATGTTGCAATTTGGCTATTGAAAATTCCATTAGTTGAAGTCAATATTTATCAAATCACTCCTTCTAAAATACTGCACTTCGATTTTTAAGAGAAGTTTCTCTGAACTTCTTTCACATAATAACAGCAAACTCTTTAGGGTCTTAAAAGAAGAGGGGACCTTTTATCTGAATGGGGATTTACATTCTAACAAGTTATTTTATACACATTAAATTTTGCATCAACCCTGTGGGTAGATGGATTATGAGGTTACAGACTAAGATGAGGTCATAGACAAAGAAAAGTGAATGGTCCCTCCAATGAGCACCTACATGGGATACTCACATGGTGACTCAGTACATTCTCTGTGATGCTATGCTGAGCCTCAGTTGCTTTCAAGTGTTTCATAACTTTATTATGAAGAGGAATCACAAACTATAAGTGATGTTTACCTACAGTGAAGGCAAATTTTAAAGAATCCTTTTTCCAAAAAAAAAGTTGTTCACAAGCAAAAAAATCAGTAAGATAAGTAGTGAACATGGAAGAATCCTCTTAATCTGAACATCAGTTTGCCTTGTTTAGGGATTGGTCATCTTGCTACTCTAGGCCAAGACTTTGTTTTTCACAGTGAAGAGTCATTTGATTCTCACTGACACACAAAGAATGGGGAAGGTTGTGAAATGCTGAGTGATGGAAACATTGCCAGCCAGACACAAAGTGTGGGCTAATAATGAGTCAGGGAAGGGCTCCCCAGAATCAAAGACCTCTACGTCAAATTGTTAACAAAGGAGCCTAGTGTAAACAGGGCTTTAGGGCCAGGAAATGACTCAAGAAAGGGACAGTCACTTCCTCATCAGAGGACACACATTTGTCAAAATTTGCTGAGACATGTGTACAGTAGTTCCAAAAAAGACATGGATTAGAGGACTCACATCAATAAGTGCTACTTTTTAGATCTAGATGCAGAAATACTTGAAGTCTGGATTACTCTCTTACCCTACTTAAATAGACCAAAGGTTATTGGCTTATGTTTTGTAGTTCATATCGTTTTTGTATCAAAAATGAAGGAAAACAATGGTAACACTGCTGGAGCCAAATGAAAATAGGGGAACCAGAGGGAACCTAATTGCATGTAAAATACTTTATACATAGAAAAAAGAAGAAAATCCTCATCTAGTAATAATGGAAGAACACTCTTTATAAGTACAACATCACTTACCTGTCCCCTTGCATTCTTTATGCTTCAGTATTTCCCTTATGTTGTCACCTGAGCAATAACTCCAAGTTATTTAACTACAGTTCTAAATTGACTACAAAATACAATCCACGTGAACTAAAAAGAGGCGTTTCAATTTCTTAACATAGGCAAGGATATTTTGCATTATATTTACATGTTGCCCAGTGGGCTCATTATCAGCAGAAAAAATGATCAGTGGATATTACAGACATTGAGTTAATTAACAAATAATATGGGAAACTGATAAATCAACTGGGCTTCTTATCAGTAGAAATCTCCTCCCTAGCTAGCAATAAATGTATATATATTGTGTTGCCATTTGTCAAACTTGGTAAATAAGATTTAATTTTCTTACCTAGCATTTTAAAACATTGATTGTATCTGTGCCAGCTAATGACAAATATAACATCCACAATAAAAGGCTGGCCATTGTAGACACCAAAAAGCATGGATTTACCCACCTTACACTTTCTTGTTGATAGTGATCAGTGGAGTTGAACTGGAAAAATTGTACTTGGCTATGAAGACTCTAAAAATATGAATATAAAAAATTCGAAATGATTTAAGATGAAAACTTGTACCACTCTAAGGCTATATTCAGTCTGACTTTGAAAAGTTTTTGTAATTTTTTACAAATGCTTTTTTTTGTAATTTTTTTTAGTAACTTTTTTTTGGTAATTTTTTACAAAAACTTTTCAGAGAGACTGCCAACCCAGTCCCTTAATATCCGAAAGGAAAGCATTTAAATACTGTTGCATGACAGGTAGAGGTACTGTATTGTCTACTGACCCTGATGGAAAATAAAAATCCCAAAGCAAAGAAGGAAAACCAACTCTGAAATATACCACTCAGCAAACACACAAGTTGGGTTATCCATAATCTTGGCTGATTACAAAACATATTAGCAATGAAAATTACCATTGAAGAATGCCGTATAGGTCTATTTCTTAACCAATTCAATTAGATTCCATTGTGAATAAAAAGCTTACAATGAAAAGCCATGTCTATTATACAAACATATACAAAGGGGGAAATCTCTGAGCAGAAAAGTACAACCGCTCTCAGATCATAACAGCACCCATCTTCTATCCAGATATGGATAACGGATACATAATGCACACTCATTGTCCTCAAATGCACCTGATGAGGTGGGGAAAAGGGATCCAACATAACTCCTTGGGGCTCTAGGTCAAGAATATCAGCCATAAATTCACTAATGCTAGACACGGGTGAATAGTCACAGAGATAAGATGGTCTCTTAAAACCCATAAGTGCTTTGCAATTATCTTACAAAATAATTCTGCTCTCTTGACTTTTTATCTTGTTTTTTTCCTGTCCATTGAATGGCCAAATCCACTACACTTAAAATAAAAGTGGATCATTTCTAATTTAATAGTAACAGAAATCCTTTGTTTTGACTCATCCACTGTTGACAGTGACACTGAGGATTGACCTTGAATTTATAAAATATTGACTGAATTTTACTGTTTTCCCCATCTTTCCTAGGATGCGATATGATCAGAATGTGTTTTCCACAGGCTATTGCTTTTGTTTTGCCCAGATGTAGGACAGATTCTTCCATAAAGATTTCAGCTAAACAAACCAAATTGGAAGAACCAGTTGCATGTAGATAATAAGATATTTTCATCTAAAATACATCCTAATAAAGCTTTGAAACAATATTTCTTTAAAAAGAAATGTGTAAGAGGGCCTAAGAAGTAACCAGGACCATACCACCACAAGCACAGCACACAGGTGTTGGGGAAAGGGAAACAAAATGAGGCCCAATATAACAGCACGTGTGGTGATTCCTGAATATGGCAAGAGAAGCTGAGCTGGGAGCTGTTTTGTCTTCTTCCTCTGTCTCAAAAGCACTCTGCTCCTGGGTGAGTCTTCGATTTGCTCCCCTGCAACATAAGCATAATAACGTTGACATTACCTCCCTGTGTTGTGGCAGGGAAAGGATAAGAGGGTACATGTGAAAGCACGCTGCACACTATAAACTGCTAAAAACACATGCATTATAAATGAGAACCCTGCACATATGTAACTTATGAACAAAGAGGAAGGCAGATGAGTGTGGTTGAGTTGAAATTTATTCATTCTAACACAGATGTGCAAAAAGTCATTTTTAAAAATTGTTTTCCCCATTACATAATTGACTTCATGTTGCTCCAAAGTCTTCAGTCGCACATGCTGGTAAAAATACAAACCAAAATAAAAAATGAAAAACTTGTTTCTTTAGTGTAACTCAAGTTCTACAGAAAATAGTCAGTTTGGGGTAAATTTTTGTTTTGGGGGAGTTGTCCTCCCCCCATTGTTCCTGTTACACTGGCCTGTCCTCAACAGTAAGTTTATGCTGTACTGCGGCAGAGCATCTGCTTGGCACTGCCCTCCCTGGGTGGGCTGTCGGGTCTGAGTGAGGCACAGACAATCCCACCTGGTCCCCATGTGGAGGCCTCCACTTTCACAGTCTGTGTCCTAAGATTTTGTGATGGTCTCTTGGCACAGGAAGTAGGAAATGATCACTTCCTGCCAGTGCCCTCATCTTAGCTCTCACTACTACTTAGACTTGGCGATGTATCCTCTCAGCTTGAGGGGTGTATCCTGCAGTCTCTACCACAGATTTCTCTTGCTTTGTGCTATGGGACCCTGCAAGGTATGCTGACTCCTGTCTATAAGCTCAGTTCATCTCTCTGTCACCCCACCAGAACACCTGGGCCAATTCTAAGGCAGATGCCGCTGGAGGGAGAGGTAATGGCAAGTACAGTGACTTTCTTCCCAAGTGACCATTTTCTACCAAGCACTTGTTAGGGTGGTTTAGACCCTCCATGGTCGTTCTCCACGGATCTGGAGGAGATCAGCTTGCATCTCCTCCTCAATGTTGCCACAGTTTGGGCCACATGTTAAAGTCCTGGTCCCCAGCCTGTGGTGCCACTGGGAGGTTATGGAGCCTTTGGAAGGTGGGCCTTTGTGGAAGGAAGTGAGGTCAGTGGGAGTGTGCCCTTGGAAAGGATACTAGGACAATGGTCTCTTCCTGTCTTTCTCTTTGCTTCCTGGTGGCCATGGGGCAAGTAGCTCCCTGCCACAATGTCCTTTCTCACACAGGCCCCAAAACAATGAAGACAACAGAGCATGGATTGAAACCCATGAAACTTTTCTTCCTTATAAGTTGTCACAGCAACAGAGGCTGACTAACACAACCTTCTTAAGGGTTTTGTTTTGCGTAATCACCTTGGTGAAGATTGCTACCCTCCATGTCTCCTTCAGGATCAGTTTGCACCACAAAGGGCCTTCCCCTCCTATGCAGTAGGATCTCAGTGTATGAAAGTCAACATCTCAGCTCCTTAGACTTTCTTCTTAATACATAAATGGAAGTTTTATAATGTTTCTCTTGCCAATCTTCACAAAAGTAGTGTGTGTGTGTGTGCGCGCACGTGCGTGTGCATGTGTACACGTATTTTGCCTAGGTCAGTGGCAGGAATTCTTATTTTATTCTTTTGGATTGACAGTTATTGTCAAGGAACTTCTATTTTAACAGTGAAAAGAACTCTGGTATAACAATAAAAATAACTGGAGTTTATATTTTTGGTTTATTTTGGAGTTTAATCTTTTATATGGAGTGCTTTACTGGGAAAATTATTTGTCTTACCTATGCTCTCATTTTTTCATCTATAAAATGCATTAATAACCCTATACAATATTTATTTGACAATATTATCTTTTTTCCCTTATTCAAAAAGTTCTTGAAATGTCCCATAGTTCTAAAAGGCCTAGCTAATGTAGTAAGGATAAAATTTTGAAACATTTCATGATGCTTTTAAAAACTTTTCTGTAACTCCCACCTTGCAGCTGGACACTAATTGATTTGATCAATAGCCTTTATTGATAGTATGGCAGATGATGCAGTCTGGGCTCTAGAACAAATGTGTTGTGTCATTGAAGTTATCAGAGAAATTCTTTTAAAAGCCAAGATTTGTTGCAAATTATAAAACTTCCATTTATGTATTAAGAAGAAAGTCTAAGGAGCTGAGATGTTGGCTTTCATACACTGAGATCCTACTGCACAGGAGGGGAAGGCCCTTTGTGGTGCAAACTGATCCTGAAGGAGACATGGAGGGTAGCAATCTTCACCAAGGTGATTACGCAAAACAAAACCCTTAAGAAGGTTGTGTTAGTCAGCCTCTGTTGCTGTGACAACTTATAAGGAAGAAAAGTTTCATAAGTTTTATAATTTGCAACAAATCTTGGCTTTTAAAAGAATTTCTCTGATAACTTCAATGACACAACACATTTGGTGATTCATCATTAAACTTCTTTATTCATTCCTTTCTTTGTTCAACTAGCATTTACTGATATAACAAACCTTGTGCTAAGGACTAGAAATCTAACAAGAGAGGGGCCAGGGATTTAGCTCAGTGGTTCCAGCACCTGCTTTGCAAGCTCAAGGTCCCCAGTTTGATCCCTAGTACCAAAAAAATAAATAAATAGAAATCTAACAAGATAATTTTCCCTCCTCTTGATTAAAATACAAGATAGTGGGAGAGATAGAAAAATGTAATTATAAGACACCTAGGAATAATCAGTGCTATATGACTAAGTATCATAGGGCTTTTAGGGTTTGCAAATCAATTTTTGTCATGGCTCAAATGGTTACTAAGATACATGGTAGTTCTACAAGTAGAAGTTTCATTCAACATGTTGAGTTGTGAGGAACAACATAGTTGAAAATGCTTGTCTCAATAAACAGGCAAATTACAAAGAGAAAGACTGAAACATTGACTTCTATAACAACTTGGAAGTCATGAGCACTACAATTCTTGCTTGTTTATTACTGGCTATTTCATTTTTCAAGAGTCTCAATGCACCACAAACTTGCACTGTGTGGATCAGGCATAGATGGTTCCATCTTGCAGGTTATAATAGAGTTGAAGGAATACTGTATGTGCATTTCACATGTTTATTAACCTGTGGCATCAATGATTCACTGAGCCACACTAATCAAGAAAGAATTACAAAGCATCTGTGTGTGTGTGTGTGTGTGTGTGTGTAAAAGGCTTAAGGATATGGATAACCTCACTCATTTTTACACTTATTTTAGGTGAAAGATGAGGTAGCCAATGAAATATTTCAGCTGCTCGATTTTCTACGTTTTATTCATTGAATGCACATTTCCTTACTGTTTTCTCTTTTTTACTTACCATATGTATACATCCAGCATTAAAAAATAAATTTGGTTAAATTCATTAAAATATTTTCCTTAAATATGCCATTTTCCAACAATCAGAGAAGAGTTACAACAGAGAGATTCTCTCCAGAGATGACTTGAGATTTGAGTTAATGTCTAGAAATCTAGTCATACAAAGATTCTATGAGAATGCCAAATACTTTTTGGTAGCTAAATAGTAACAAATGACAAATGTGGTGAAGAAACATAAATGTGTAAAATCCTGTTCCTCCAAATTCTGCAACTCAAAATACTTTTCCTGAAACATTAATATCCTTGACTTTAATTTTGAACTTAACAGGCATTTTGCATTTAAATTCTAATTAAAAAGAAAAACTGCAATTATTCCCTAAATACTAAACAGTTTAGAAATAGTTTAGTAAAGGAAATAAGACTCTATAGTCATTTTTTCTCTTGGGGAGTTAAAAGTGTTTACATATCTCACTATGGAATTATAAATATGTTAATTATATGCTAATGTAAACATGAAAAAATGTTATATGGAAATTGCAAGTTGAAGAACTACCAAAAACATGCAAAGGCAAAAAAGAAGGGGGTCTGCCTGAAAACAACGTCTGCCATCTTGCTTATTGATGTGTAAACATCCAATATGCTCAAGGCTTTGACATCTCTATTCGTTTTGAGTTTCGAATCAGCTATAAATATAAGACCTTTAATTGTGTGATTGATTTGTCAAAAATTTTGAAGTCTTTTACATAGAGGTGAATTACATGTGAATACTAATAGTTTTTGGCTTCATAGTTTAAGTGAAAACTTCTCCAAGAAATTGAGATGCCCTAAATTAAGAGTATGTGAGTTAACTGGCACATTTGTTCAACCAGTCATACATAGAACTGTATTTTTCCCAGCAGAGATCACATTTTTAATCTTCTTTTTAAAAAAGATTTTTCACCAGTGTTCCCTAAAATTCTCAACAAGAGCATCCTATAAAACTTTGTACCTGACAGAGGGCAAAGGGAAGCCCCATTCTCCAACCATATTCTATTGTACAATAAGACCTCTCCAGGCAAAATACCAGGAAAAAGCAAGATATCGAATGAGTAAAACAACACAAGTTCCAAGTCTTTCTTCCAGGTTTCTGTGCCCTCCAGTGACAAAGTGCCTCTTGCATCTGGCAAACATATGCAGAAAACTAGGCCAAATATGGCCAATAAATGTGGCCAAGTTCTTCCATGTGATGCACTCTGACGGCCAACCCAAAGTTCCCAATGTCAATTTCATTTCCAAATGAAGACTTAATTTTTTCAGGAGACGTGTTAATATTTAACATATAGGTATAAATAAAACTAATTTACCTGGTTGGGGTAAAAAAAATATGAAATAAAAATGTACTATACTTTTTTTAATACAGACAATGAATATTAGGAATGAGATGGATATTTGGGTAATATGGAAATGGTCCTGCAGATATAATCTTACTCACACTGTCAAGGATTAAGAAGCATAAGCGAAGGACTTCTCAGGGCTTCTGCCAGACACAATGCCTTCTAGAATGACCCCAGTAAACTATCATCATGACTAAAATTCTAAAGTCAATGGAAACTTCATGGTTGCAGTCGAAATTTCAGGACTTCTGGAGGCACTACTAGGTGTCAAATATAGGACTGAATATTTTTAAATACCTGTATGTTTTAAAATGTTGATAATAAACTCAAATAA